GCGCCTGCGCGTGTTCTGAGTGTGGTTTTGCGCCTGCGCGACGTGTCATGTGACGACGCAAGCGCCTGCGCGTGTTCTGAGTGTGGTTTTTTGAAATTTTCGACCGGTTGCAACATCGGAGAATTAGACGGAATACATATAAAACACGCGACAGTAAATCATTCGAAAAACTTTGTGAATCCGTTGGACGGCGTGCATACGCAAAACATCGAAAGGATGTGGGGGACCTTCAAGAACAGAAAAAATCTGCCCCTACACTATACCGAGGAACTTCGAGATTCGTATCTGTACGCTTTTATGTACAAAAAGCATATGAAGTGGGAAAGTCTCAAGCCGGGTGATCGTTTCAGAATTTTCTGCGAACATTTAAGAAAAATGTATCCAGGAGCGGGCCGCGAGCCCGAATGGAAGGAGCCAGAAACCGTTCCGGCAGCCCCGGAAGCGATGCCGAAGAAGCAACCAAGCGGCGAGACGAGCAACAGCAGAAAGCGCGCCAGAGTCGGCGAATGACTGCGGACAAAGGTGAGTAAAAAAAACCTTTTTATTTTGTTATTTCGGTTAAAGTCCAGATACTTACTGTCATGGCGGCTCATCGCCGATTCCAGCAAAGAGAAGCAAACAGTGGGGACGCACGTTCTAACCTAACCTAAACCTATTCTAATAAATTATCACAATTAGTACCGATTAAATTATTAGAATAGGTTAGGTTAGGTCAGAACGTGCGTCCCCACTGTTTGCTTTTGTTTGGTGGAATCAGCGCCGGCGCCATGACAGCCGCCGGCGCTGCCGCGGCGCAACAGCCGCCGACGCCCTTCGCTCGCGTCGTCACGTGACACGTCGTCTCGACAGGCGTACGGTTTTGAGGCTAAAAACGGAAGTGCCGCCATGATGTGGCACGCATCTGAACATTGACCCCAATGACTATTAACACATGTAAATCTTTTGGATTTCTTGCAAATATTCGATAAGAAATTAAAATTATTTCTGCACAGACGTAAGATGGTTATCATTCAGACAAAACCTTGTTTAATATTTCGCTTCTTCATATAATAATTAAGATAAGTAAAATCAAGTTATTACTGAACGACTCACACCGCCACGAAACGTTGGTTGATAACCACATTGACCGGTGAGATCGCAGCAACTCGTACGAAAAAATGTTAGTGACATATTAAAAATAAGTCAAAGAAAATAAAAATGTAAGTTAAAAACTATTTATATTTATATATTATTAAATTTATAAAGTCAAATATTAAAAGTTTTGATAAAGTGTAGTGTATAAAATTTAAAAAATTAAATATAGATTATAGAAGAGGTCGGATGGTCGAACGGTTAAAGTGGCAGTCTACCGCTCTGGGAGACCGAATCCGGGCGGGTAGAGAAAGCCCAGAAATTTCTCGAGGAGATGGTTCGTCTGAATATGTCGGGCCCGATCCCTCACCGCCGGCCTTCCATTGTGGGCCAGGAAGAGCACATACGTACGGGTTTGCTGAAAAAGTCCTTAGTGCCCACTGGGGGAAGGAATTAAAAAAAGACTAACTAGCAGACGTGCGGCGCAAACACGCTGCTAATATACACAGTACTGTAAATGATATAACTTAGTCTGTATTAAATGCCTATTATGTTTTAATGTGGGTTGTATTTGTTATCGTTACAGGTTAGTTAAATAATTGTGAGGATTTTTAGGAATCAATAAATAAAAT